AGCGGAGCATCTCGCCCCTCCCCCGCCCGCCGTGTGCCAGCGCGGGAAGGGGCGTCCCTGCGGCCGGAGGCCGCCTGCCATGGCCGCGCGCCGCCCCGCTGTTCTAGAGCGGACCCGGCCACGCTACGTGCCCCTCTGACCTGAGGCGCCTCAGGCCGTTCCCAGCGCCACACGCTGAGCGCATCACAGAGTGGAAGCAAAAGCCATTTGTGACACGGAGTCCGTGATGCGGGGCAGGGGGAAGCCCCGCTCCTCAGGCCCTACCACGCGTGCAAGCAATCCTACACTGGAGCCAACAACATTTGCGAGCCAGAATGGCTCTGGATACCTTCTGCAGAAAGTCCATTTTAGAAATATTTCAGTGACTAGTATCCTCTCTCCTACCTCCCCTCTTCAGTACTGTCAATCCAATTATACAGGCCTCAAAGGGAAAGCTAGTCCAGAGGGTTACATATTCCACACGTAGAAAGGATCATTCTGATCATCTAACCCATATAACAGAAGCCATAGGAATTATTTTGGGGAAGGGATTAAGGTATCTTTTAGAAAGACATCCAATCTTGATTTTAAATTTACCAGTAATCCACCCAGACCTTTGGTTATGCAATTAATACAATTTTAGAAGCATTTAAAAGTTGTCTAAAACTCTCTCATACATAACTCTTATTTTTAAGGTGTGGCATTTTGGGACTTTCCAGAGTTAGAAGAAATGCTATATATCCTATTGGAAAAGAGGAAAGCTCCAGTTTCAAACAGCAGATAGCACTGAATATGACCCATCTTACATGTCAGATGAATGCAAGTTTATAGTGGAAATCCTGAGAGGGTTAGGAAGAAGACCAGCATTTCCTTTCAGATTTTTAAATAGCAACTAATTAAAATGACTTGGGAACTATTTGCAAGGGTCTGTGTCCTGGGAGGGGATATGGCAGTGTAGAAATTGTTTAGTATGACAAGTAGACTTAGTCCTTGGGCTCAGAGATGTTAGGCAAGTTTGCCTAAAAACAATTTTTAGAAGTTTTAAGAAAATGTGGCTGAACTATTTGAAGTCAGATTGGGGGATGGGTAGGTTGACGGGGTTAGGGCTGCATTCTTCTGCTTCAAATCCCCACCACAATGTTATATTTTAGGGCTGTTGATTAATCTCAGTTAACTCAAAAAATAAATTGTGATTTAAAAAAAAAATCACAATTAATTGGATTGTCAAACCATACAATGCTAATTGTAATTTATTAAATATTTTGGATGCTATTCTGTTTTCAAATATATTGATTTCTACAATTCAAAATGCAAAGAGTACAGCATTCATTTTATATGTTACATATTTGCATTGTAAAAATAATAAAAATAGTATTTTTCAGTTCCTCATACAAGCATTGTAGTACACTCTATCGTGAAAATGTAACAAAAATGTAGATTTTTTTTGTTACACAACTACACATAACCACAGAGAATACAGAGGGCGGGGCTTCAAGGATGGGCATTGGCATCACAGAGACTTGGTGGGATAATACACATGATTAGAATATTGGTATAGAAGGGTACAGCTTACTGAGGAAGGAGAGGCAGGAAAAAAAGGGAGGTGGTGTTGCCTTATATATTAAAAATGTACACGCTTGGACTGAGGTGGAGATAGACGTAGGAGAGAGCTGGTAGGTAAGGTCCCATGGGAGGCAAGACTGAGGGGAAAAATAACTGAAGAGAGTTGACATTTTGTCAAAGGGACATTATTAAGGTCCCAAAAGCAAGCTATTCCGCTGTGTAGGAAAGATAGAAAATATGGCAAAAGACCGCCTTGGCTTAACCAGGAGATCTTGCATGATCTAAAAATGAGTCATAAAAAATGAAAACTAGGACAAATTACAAAGGACGAATATAGGAAAACAATACAGGAATGCAGAGGCAATATTAGAAAGGCAAAGGCACAAAACCAGCTCAAACTAGCTACAGGCATAGAGGGAAACAAGACATTCTATAAATATAATGAAGCAAGAGGAAGACCAAGGACAGGATAGGCCCATTGCTCAGTGAGGAGGGAGAAACAGTAACAGGAAACTTGGAAATGGCACAGATGCTTAATAACTACTTTGTTTCACTCTTCACCAAGAAGTCTGATGAAGGAATGCCTAACATAGTGAATGCTAGTGGGAAGGGGTAGGTTTAGAAGATAAAATTAAAAAAAAGGACAAGTTAAAAATCACTTAGCAATGTTAGATGTCTGCAAGTCACCTGGGCCTGATGAAATGCATCCTAGGATACTCAAGGAGCTGATAGAGGAGGTATCTGAGTCTTTAGCTATCATATTTGGAAAATCATGGAAGACAGGAGCGATTCCAGAAGATTGCTTCTTTGCACCTCTATCCCCTGCAACCGAACTAAGCTGCCCACTCCTGCTGGTTCCCTGCACTTCCCCCCAAACCATCCCTCACAATCCAAGGGAGTGCAGCACCAGTTCCCTGCAGCCCCTCACAGCCCAGCTGAGCTACTTGTCTGTTCTGTATGCCCTCCCCCATCCACCTCAGCCCAGCTGAGCCCTGCACTGGTTCCCTGCATGCCACCCCCACAGCACAGCTGAGCCCCGTTTCCCTGCACCTCCTCCAAGCCCCTCAAAACTGCTGAGCCAAGAGCCCATTCCCTGTCTCTCCCTCCCCTTGAGTCTAGCCCTGGTTCCTGGCACCTCCCTCCTCCTGCAGTCAAACTGAGCTCTGAGCTCCACACACACACCCCCCACCCCACCTCACCGCCCAGCTCCCCAGACCTCCCCACTCTGCAACCCAGCTGCGCTCAATTTCCCTGCACC